CACACACACACACACACACACACACACACACACACACACACACACACACACACACAGGTTTGTTTTTGTGAAAAGTGGGGACATCCCATAGGCGTAATGGTTTTTATACTGTACAGACCGTATATTCTATTGCCCTACACCAACCCTACCCCTAAACCTACCCCTTACAGGAAACTTTGTGCTATTTCAGATTTTCAATACACTCCATTCTGTGTGATTTATAAGCGTTTTGAAAAGTGGGGACATGGGGTAATGTCCTGAAAAGTCACCTTCTCCTTGTAATACCTATGTCATACCTTTGTCATTATACAAATTGATGTCCTCATTTGTCACAAAAACACGTGCACACACACACACACACACACACACACACACACACTTGGGTGTGAGTGAGCACTCTTAGGATTGGTTCCTTCACATCCTTTAGTTTAGTAGCTATAGATATCAAATATCCTGTATTTCATTCAGAATATGTGCTTTTGTGTTGCATCTCTGATTGTGATCTCACAGCCTTAATTTGATACTCCGTTTCATTCCTGAATGAATCACAAAATGGTACGTTTATTTCTGAATATCCGTTTAATTCCTGAATGATCACAATCTGGTACGTTTATTTCATAAATTTCACTCAAATTTCAAATGATAAATTATCATTATGGCAGACAGGACTCCTAGTTAGACACATAATAAAATGTGTATAGATAATAAACTGTATTTTCTATCCCCTTGCCCTACTCCTCACACAAACCTTTCTGCATTTTTAGATAAAAAAAAAATAAAAAATTCATTGTGTGATTTATAAGCAAGTTTCCTCATGGACACCAAAAAAAAAAAATAAAATAAAGTTTTCCACTTGTTTCTCTACTCTACTGTCTTTACATGAGTCCTGATGGATTTTCTGACCTCACTTCCATCATTCATGTTATTGCAAATAAACTGCACAACTGATGCAAATAAAGCAACACCTAGAGCGCACCCCACAGCAAGTCTAGCTCAGAACATTTAAAAATAGGTTAGCCAAGTTAACCTCACACAAACCTTTCTGCATTTTTAGATTAAAAAAAAATAAAAAATTCATTGTGTGATTTATAAGCAAGTTTCCTCATGGACACCAAAAAAAAAAATAAAATAAAGTTTTCCACTTGTTTCTCTACTCTACTGTCTTTACATGAGTCCTGATGGATTTTCTGACCTCACTTCCATCATTCATGTTATTGCAAATAAACTGCACAACTGATGCAAATAAAGCAACACCTAGAGCGCACCCCACAGCAAGTCTAGCTCAGAACATTTAAAAATAGGTTAGCCAAGTTAACCATTGATTTCAATAAAGGAGTCCTTGTTAAATGACATTTTCTCAACAGAACCACGACGTTAAACCAAATGTGTGCAGGATTATATATTTAATAACTACTACTACTACTACTACTACTAATACTAATTACTGTTTTAATGCGTAACTGTGATTTTGATTCAACATACAAACAGAACGAACAAATTAATTAATTAATTAATTAATTAATTAATTAATTCATTCATTCATTCATTCATTCATTCATTGTTTCATACATTCATACATTCATTCATACATACATGGGTTATTTCATGTTGGTTGTTTGTTAAGATTATTAATATATATACGTGCATTTCTTAGTGTTGGGTGTGTTGGAGAAAAAGATATGAATGTGCCACACTGATTTCAAGAGTCCTGTTTCGCAAACTAGGTTGTAGCCTAAGTATCCTCCCCCCTGCAGGCGTAGGCTATTTAACCCGCTGCCTCTTTAAAGCCACCTGTAGCGGATCTCTATCCTCCAAAGGAAATTAACCTCCGAAAGCCACCGAGTTAACGGACATAAAGCTCTTGACACGGAAGACATCTTCTGTTTTAATTATTTTTCCGTTATCATTATCTTTTTTTTTTTTTTTTTTTTGGTATAAACGACACTTAAGTAGAGAACTATGTTACTGACGCATCAACTATTCCTATTAATATTAATCTCTACTTCAGGTAAGCCTGCGATCTGCGTGTGTGTGTACTGATGGGTTTATTATAGATATACAATAAGTAATCTATATTTGAAAAGAAATACTAGTGATATTTTATTTTGTAGACTAACCCACTGGTAATGATTTGACTTGCGCCATGACCGTGTTATGTTTTAAGGACCATGGACAGTCTCGAGTGCTGGAAAAACTCCACAATTACATGTTAGTTTTTATACTAATGCTCGTCTGAGCTTAGACGTGTTTGTAAGAGACAAAACTTTCGCCTGCAACAACAAACAAAACGTGAGGCACATATGAATGATCCCGTGGAAGACTTTGAGCACATAAGACTTTCCTCAGTCGATCCGGCTTTTAAGCGGAATAAAATAAAGACGTGTTGCTCCTCGACACGCAAAACCTAGTGAGCTGAGACAGCATTTTTAGCCATAATAGGCATTCACCGTTGTCTTTAGCTAACTCACCGCTAAAATTTGTTACCCAAATGTACTTTTAAGGCTCTAAAACTAGTTGCTGAAGCAATAAAAGTAAAAAAAAAAAAAAAAAAATGTAAGAGCACTTTGTCTTGATTTCATGTCAACATTTTAAATAGTCAGTTTGTCCCTCTAAAAAGCTCTGTAAAACATGCAGTAATATACAACTGCCACATTTAGTAGATTAAATATAGGTGTAATAATGAAAGGGTCTATTATTACTGTGTTTTTTACTCTTTCTCACATAAATCATGATCACATGCAATTATGTCATTGGTCACAGTTGTGGTCAGTGGGAAACAATTTGAATAACTAATTTAATGATTCACATTATAGATCTCAAACTAATGTTACATTAAATTAAACAAGTAATTGTAATAATAAACATGCATTTATTCTTCAATTATTCCCCCTTTATCCACAATTGCCTGAAAAAAGAAAAGAAAAATAAAGTTAATTTATTGTTTACAACTTTCTGTTCTTATTGGTTCTTATTGGATCTTTCAGTTCTTAGCGACTAATTGAGCCCTTTTTGACTCTTAAATCCTGGAATCATTTGACTCGCAAAACCCCTAGAGGATTTTTGGGCAGGATATTATGGCACAATTCACACTGTACTTTAACTAAACAGAAAAGATCAGAAGTTTCAATGCTATAATGTTTTTGCATTTTGTGTGGTGTGAGGGTTAGTCTGTGGTGAGTCACTGTACCATGACTATGAGACTCAGATTTTCATTCACACACACACACACACACACACACACACACGGGTGTGAGTGAGCACTCTTGGGATTGGCTATGTCACATCCTTTAGTTTAGTAGCTACCATAGATATCAAATGTCCTGTGTTTCATTCAGAATATGTGCTTTTGTGTTGCATCTCTTATTGTGATCTCACAGCCTTAATTTGATATTCACTGATCACAAATTGATAAGTTTATTTAATAAATTTCACTCAAATTTCAAATGATAAATTATCATTACGGCAGACAGGTGTCCTAGTTAGACACATAATAAACTGTGTATAGAGATGACACCACAGTATGTACCACCTTTTGCCTCAGGGCATGTTTGTGTTTCTAATAAAGTAAGTCCTACTGTGTGTGTGAAAGGTCCATGACTGCAGTAGAAGAATAGCCTGTGTGTATGTCCTGTCTTTATGTCTGGCACCAAGTCCAGCTGTGTCCCACCGGTGGACCTGTCAAAGACAGAAAGCAAGGCAAAGGCAGATAGATGGCAAGATGTCATGTGTGAGGGAAATGACAAAGGTGTGTGTGAGAGAGAGATAGTATTTAAAATATGGGATTAAAAGTATCCCACATATGTCTTTTTGAGTAATCATTTGAATCATTCACTCAACTGATTCGTTCAAAAACACTGATTCATTCAGGAATGAAATGAAGTGACCATACGTTCTCAGAAAAAAAAGTAGAGAACTGTCACTGGGGTGGTACCTTTTTAAAAGCTCCTATGTACCATTGTACCATATGTACCATATACTGTAGTTACTAATTACTTTAAATTACTAATATAACATGATCGCACCGCAGAAACTGGGAATGATTTTAGTTATAGGAACGCCTTTTGGGGGGACTAAATTAACTCTTACTTCAGAGTAGGGTCAGCACATAGGAGCAACCAGTGGTAAATAAAAAGTAAGGGGTAAATAAGGTACAGGTATAAGGTATGAATGAGTCCTTGAATCATTTGCTAAACCATTTCATTCAAAAACACAGAATCATTTGTTACCAAAACAAAGGCCACTAAAGTGTGCTGCTAATTGCTCTGATGTGGCTTTGTTTGCAGCTTTTTTTGTTAGTGGACATAGTAGCCAGCAGTATTGTGTCTAAAATGTAAGTATAATATTAGCTTCTTGTTTATTGAAATGTTGTATAAAAGCAAAGTCATTCAGTTGCTGCCTCCTTGGTACTCCAATATCTTGTCAGAAACAGACCTGTGATGTGATGTTTTTGAACAAGTAATAAATTAAATTGTGTTATTGGACCATCTGATGCTGGGAGAGGGAGGATTGTGAAATAAGGCCTTTGTTTCAGAGAGCTCTAATCCAGGCAAAGTGCTGTAATGCTAATCTGGGCATCTGATGGATAAAGAAGCTGTCTAACACAACCAATATAGTTAATGAATGCTGTCTGGTTTGTAAACTATCATTCATATAAAACTACAAGGATATAAATACAAATTATTCACTGTATCCAAAAATACATAGTTTATTTTGATATTTCCAGTTTTCTGAAATTGTTTTTAACATGATTTTTTATGTATTGATTTATTTATTTGTAATCAGGTTGTTTCTTCTTCGCTTCTCTTCTGTTTTTTTTGGGATTAGAGGTTGTAAATCTGCCCCTTTACTTGGACAGTATAGGCTGCCTGTGCTTTAATTGGATATGATTGAGTGTGAGTTTGCCTAGTTTGTACTAGTGCAGAAGGTCTTCTCCAGAGAACCATCTGTTACCTAAGAGCCATTTAGAGATTTGTAAGCCTTTGTAAGAGAGAGTAAGGGAGAGTAAATGGCATTATAATGGATTGTTGTGTCACATGGCAGGAAAATGAAGTGTGGTTAGGGAACCAAAAAAGAGGGGAACTTAATTGTTTAAAACAAGAATTTAGCTCAAGTGCTATGTAAACCAAAAATGCTATAACTAGATACTAAAGAAAATTTGAGTGCTTCGTGCTCATGAAAAAAAATCCAGCTAGAGTGTTATGGTGTTGTGAATGTTTGCTAAGAGGTTTAAAAGGCTTTCTTAGTTTGTTAGCAGGGTGGAGTTGTTATCATGTTGCTATGTGGTTGCTAGTGTGTTGACTGCGGGTCCAAATTAAAAGTACATCAGTCTGATTATTTTTTATTAACAAGCCATAGGATTTGAGTTATCATTAATGGCTATAGCATGTTCCCAACTTAAGGTTAGTTGTTTGTTCAAATATTAATAGTGATGATGATGTTACTTAAAATGAATCAGATATTAATTGTTATTTGAATTCATGTCACAACTCTATAAGTCCTTGTTAGGTAAATTTGCAGTCAGTGTTAATTTTGTATTACTTATATACTTTTAGTAGATAGTATAATATAGTATTTATTACAATTTTGAATTGACTTTATTTTTAGATTTTCTGTTTTCATTTTAATTTTTGATGAAGTCAGTAATTTATTATGTATTTTATATTTAATAATAATAATTATTATTATTAATAATAATAATTAATCAATTAACTAATTATTATTATTAATAATAATTATTATTATTTAGTTATCACTGTCTGCAATTAAATATTAACTTGTTTTAAGTGGCTCTTTTGTTTGTAGGGCACAAAATTCTTTTGATTGTGAAGTAGTTTTAGAGCACCAGGAACTCTAAACAAAGGTCACGAAAGTTCCAAATGCTACTGATATTATGAATATAGATAAAGCCGTGTGAAGGAGGAACAGACTGAGTATGGAAGAGTATGTCTGTGCCATAAGAGAGAGAAAAGAAAGATAAGATCGAGGAACAATAATGTCACGGCTGAGTACACTCTTAAAAATAAAGGTGCTTCACGATGCCATAGAAGAACCTTTTTGTCTAAATGGTTCCATAAAGAACTTTTAACATCTGAAGAACCTTTCTGTTTCACAAAAGGTTCTTTGTGGCGAAAGAAGGTTCTTCAGATTATAAAAAGGTAAGAAAGAGATGATTCTTTAAAGAACCTTTGACTGAATGGTTCTTTGTGGAACCAAAAATGGTTCTTCTATGGCATCGCTTGAAGAACCTTTTGAAGCACCTTTATTTTTAAGAGTGTATGTAACAATATTAGTGAAGAACAGTAACTAAATACTGAACACACGCAAGTTTCAGTAGCCTCTTACATCTGCTTGTACAAAAGTATTGTAGATCAGGAATGTGTCTTCTCTTTAGGGAACTGTAAACTATTTTGGTCATGTCACCATGTATTTAAAAATGATGCACAGCAGCCTGCGATTGGAAGATGCACATGAATTTTGATATGCAAAAACTATTTTTGTATTTCAAAGTAAATGACAGATAACAAAGTAAGTTTGTACATGACAGGTCAAATTTATCTAGGTTTTATGGCAAAGAGAAGGTATCTAAGGCTCAATCAACAATTACAAATGTACAAAGTATGTGAATTTTTGGGATAAAATGAAGTTATAAATTATTTAAAGGGAATTATTCTCAAAACAGTAGCTGTGGGATAAATTGTGCCAGACGCTTTGGGGTAAGATCTATCAGTGCACAAATACTAGTACTAATGCTACTAATAATAATGTTTTTGTGCTTTTTAAAATTAAAAATCAAAATAAAATGGATTCACTACAAAACTGCATTCAAATTGTTTAATAGCAGGTTAATGGTATTGCCCAATTATTCAGCTTACTTCAATTACAAATGACACATGCCTGAGGTGGGGCGTCACTAGAGGACCTTGGGAAGTTGTGTCACTAGATGACGTTTCTGAACATATATTTTTATGGTTGTAAGTGAAAAATAAGTGAAAACATCAGATAACAGTG